ATTTTAACTGCTTGGTAAAGAGAATAGATATGTTTCGGTCATACTTCCACTACAAAGTTTCATGTCAAGATCTGATTTCTTTTGATTTTTTGTCTCCAATCCCACTATGAAATGTGCAGTCATTGCGAGGGAAATGACATTGGAGGAAGACTGTGACTTGGGTGCACATGGCAGCGTATTTATGCCTGTTTATTCAGAGAAAAAAGAGAGGGAAGTAAGAAAGAATGGAAGGAAGGAAGGAGGAAAACAGATTAAAATCTCAGCCATTGGATAAATTAATAATATATCTCTGAATGTTAATTTCTACTTTTATAAAATGGGTACAATAATGGCTCCTAATCACACAACAACTTTAGGATATCAAATGAACCCAAGAATGTGAAAGTGTAAATTAGAAACTCTTATCCCTATATAAGACATACACTACCTGTTTTCATGTGCAATTTAGAATACCTATCATTTTGCCTTTTGATATTTCCACTTCCTAAATACTATATATTTATCTGTAGAAACACTCTGTTTCAGGAAAAATGTGTTCCTTTCATCATATAGCTTCTCATTATTCGTGTGAAATGCCAGGAACCTTGAGAGGGCAGGAAAAAAAAATCATTCTAGCTTCTCTGTAGCTCTCCTTTTGACAGCACTCAAGTACAGGCTGATTGGCTATAGAGCCACAGGGATTTGATGAAACAAAGCGTTCCACAGCAATACAGAATCCAGCTACTTCTATCTCAAGGGAAGTGTAAGATATGACCTTGGTTCATTGCTGGTAAGTATGCTAGTTGCCTAGCAAAACTCAAAAGTCCAAGGTAAAAGCCATATGCCTTTATTGATTTATATTTCAAAGCTTTTAATATCACAATGTGATGTGCTGCAAGTTGAATAGCTTATAGAAAGCTTAGAATAGATGGAATTTTCTACTACCATAGCTGCTGACTTGTACCACACAGTTTTATCAATTCCTATATTTACAATGATAACAAAATGTTATGTTATACAATATGTTAATGCTTATAAAGCACTGAGTGCATCTGACATTTTAAACTTGAAAGATGAGCTCATGAAGAGTGAGATTTAAATAACTGTATCTTAAAAGATCTCAGTGTGAAGCTAAATTTGGTTTCCTAATACTATACAAATTTGATAGTCATCAAAAATCCTTTTTTACTCTAAGGTAACTACTTTTTTTCTTGAAAGTAGAAAAATATATTAAAGAAATAAGATTCATCAATAACAATATTTCTAAAAATGTATGTTCATAGATTCATATGCAGATAAGATCACTGTACTTTAGCTGAAAAAATAAATAAAACATTTTATAAAAATTTGTGCATCAATTTGGGTCTAGCAAATAATCTGAAATACATTTCTAGAAACAAGAAATCTTTTAAACTATTTCTTTTACATTGGTTAACATGTTCAGATCTTTTATACAGCAAATATTTGAGGGAGAATTTTTGTTTTTTGATTTTTGGGGTCTTTTTCTCTCACTTTTTCTTTTTTTCCTTCTCCATAATGTGAATATGGTGAACTAAACAGACTATTAAATCAAAAAGGCACTTTTTATTAAATCAATCATTTAATTATCTTTAAAAATCATGAAAAATCTCCGCTAGAGTTCACTTAATACAAAGTTAAATCAGCAATTTCATAAACTAACTATTGCCAACTACCACTGATAACAAATGAGTTGAAAATTTCAGTAAATTCTTGGGCATCACAAAATATTTCTATTTTCTTCAACAGGAAAAATAACATCTGTTGGACATAACTCATAAAAACCTTTTACTAGTTAGCTGTAGTATTGCATGATTTAGCTAATCATGCCATTTGCTTACATAAACACAATCAGAACTACAGTTATCATTTTAGTTTAAATTTAAAATTTCTTTGTTGTGGGATGTATGAATATTAACTGAAATAAAAATTAATACATATGAAAATTAATCTATCATTCTAATACTTCAACAAATCAAATCGTTTTCAGTTTTTAAAGCACCATACCATTCTTTGCCATTATGACACAGAGACTTTCCCTGACAGTGTAGGTAAAATTTTGTGTTCTGCTTTTCTTAACATTATCTCCTGTCTTCATACCTATCATGTAAATTAATTAATTGTATAAGCTACCATAACTTAATGCATCATTTCCCCACTTTTAGACATGTTACCTTCCTCTTCCCTGCCCCAGTTCCCATTTTTTGTTATTTCCCTCAACAACCAACATTTTCAGTTATGCATTTCTCCCCATGTTTTTGGTGTTTACCCCTTCAGATAAATTCTCTGAAGTATAGACTTATAGATATGAATATCATTATGGCTCTTATATTTCCAAAGTGCTAAACAGACACTTTTATAAATTTCATTGCCATCAACAGCAATATGGATGTATGCAAAATTTGTACTGCGACCTTCACCAGCGCTTAGGTGTTAGTATTTTCTGTTGAAGGGAGGAACACTAATTTCAAGGAGATGAAATTTCCATGATTTCATACTAATGAAATCTCATTAGTATTATTTTAATCTGTGTTGTTATTGCTACTGGTGTTAAATGCTTCAAAATATTTGTTAATCATATTTCCTATCATGTAGATTATGTTTGGGGGTGTGTATCTTAATTTATATAAAAATTTATGTTTTTTTTATTCGCTATTCAGACAATAACGCTTTACCATATTAACTGCAAATATTTTTTTTTCCAATATAGATTACTTTACTTTTACTTTGGGTTTTTTGGGGGATCAGGTATGTTTAATATTTTTATATAAATATGTTAAATATTTTGCAATGTAACTTTTTTATGTTACTTCAACACTCAGATAACAATCCTACCAAATATGAAACTTCCCCTGTGATTTGATTTTTAAAAATATTTGTCTACTTAACCCATCTGAAATGTATTTTGGCAATGTTGTGAGATATGTTATCTAAATTTTTCTTTTTCAAACTCTAATACCAAAACCATTTATTAAATACCCCTCTTTCCCATTGTTTTATAATGCCCTATTCATATATATATATATATATATATATATATATATATATATATAATTCTTATCTATACTATGTTGAGATTTTCTCTATTTTCCTAGATCTAACATGGTACCAAAAATGTTAAACTATATAATTTTCTACTATTATTTGATATCTGGAGTGGCTTTTCAACATTTATGGCTTCTTTTAAAAAATATCCCTTTATTCTCATTAGCTTATTTTTCCAAATGGATTTTTATTATTCCATCACCTTCTAAGAAAATCCAGTTGAGGGTTTTATTGAGATTATCCTTTTATATTCATAAATTAATGTGGAAAGCTTTAACAGATTTACCTTTATAAATGTTTACCAGAAACATAACCTGTCTCTTCATTAATTCCAGTATTCTTTTCTAACTCATAATATATCATATTTTAAAGATATGTCCAATATTACATAACTAAAGGGCAGAGTGAGATAATGGAAAAGGTCAAGGCTATCGGGTGGAACACATAAATATATGGACATATATATACGTGCGTGTGTGTGTGTATATATGTATATCCAGGCTTTAATCCTGTGTGATCTTGGGCAAGATGTTTAGCCTCTTTGATCCTCAGTCATCTCCTTCTTAAACTGAAAGTAATGGTACTTCCAGGATTGCTATAAAGAATAGGAATAATGTATATAAAACTACTGAATCAGAGCATGTACCCAGTAAATGTTAGCTATGAGAATAATTTTTAATATAACATGTGCTGAGTACTTGACATTTTATAAAGTTCCTTCATATGTATTATCTCACTTGCTCTTTGATCTTCACAGAACCCTGTCAGATGATGATGTTGTTGTTATTATCACTGTTAATATTAAGGCCAAATAGGTAAACATATATCTTCTTTTAAATCAAAACACAGCTCATTTCACATCATAATGATATATGTAAATGTATTTGAAGATCACCTACATCACACAATAACCTTGTCCCTGAATATTTGATGATTTTTTCCTGTTATAATAAGTGTAGTTGCCCTTTCATTATATTTTCTATTAATTTTGCTTGCTTAAAGGAATGCTGTCGATTTTGTATGTTTGTTTCGTGTTCAATAGCTTTACTGAGTTCCTTATTACCTCTTAAAAGTATGGTTAATTCTCTTGGTTTTCTGCGTTGTCACATTTCCAAAATAAATTTTATGTTATGGAATCACATATTAATAAAATCAGCTACTTAACTGAAAAATAAAAAAACTAAGACTAGTTATCTATCATGATATCATGATATATTAAAATCTTCCTGTTGTAAATATAAATTCAAGATTATTTAGCTATTAATAGTCAGTCTCCTTTAGGCTGTAGATTGTATTTCCTTACAAAATCTTCCTGTCAGTCCTTCAAACCTCACCTTGTCTCACAGGAAGGAGTGATGTTACAGTGTGGCAGGAAGAGGAAAAAGAGAAAGCATACACCTTTTTTTTCTTTGTGGGCTTTAAATATTATTCTTAAGGATAAGAGAATAAAGGGATGAGTGGAAAAGAGGTATAAACTGCACTCGCACACTTGGGAGAGTTTTGCTGCTTTTTCATTTCTTAACTCATGGCTGGCTATGCTCATTCCCACTGAACCTAGACCTTCCACGGCCAAATACATCCTCCCCACTTTTTTTTTTTCCTCCTAGAATATCATTTCAGCTATGGGAGGATACAGTTTTTTGTGCCTGGACTTGTCCTTCCCCATCTACTGTTGGAGTAGGGTGCTTCCTTTGAAAAGTAATAATAATAAAATGTCATTTTTTCCATTGAATCAGTTGGTTAACACTATCAAATAATCCACTCCCAAAAGCATTCTAAATAAAGGAACCCACTGATGCCTCAGAAATATTTCATTTTTACTTAATCATGTTTTGTTTTTAGCTCAATTGTAAAAACAAGAACAAACTAGTAATAAAAGTTTAAAAATGACCAAGACGGTACAATTATTTTCACTGTAGAAGCAGACAATCAGTTTCAGGTATAGTTTCCATACTCACGGGGAAAATGATTAGAAGTGGATGGATTGACACTGTCCCCACTGTCAGCACTTTCACTGCTGGAAACTTCATCATCTGATTCCCGCACAGAGGAGCAGGGGGAGGAGCCGTCAACTTCTTCAAACTTCCTCTTTAAAATTCCACTCATCGCTGCAGCGCTGTCACATGCACCTGTAGCAGGAACGGGAGCAACGAAGCATTGAAACATCTGACCGCTGGATGTGCAGCCAAGGTCTCCGGAGTCATTTTTATGTGGCTTTTTATACATGAGCTGAGCTTTCCCTTGAAAGGATCACTAAGCAGTTTTTTTAAAAACATTTTCAAATTAACAAAAATTAAATTAAATATGAGCATTTGCTTACCAAAGTGTATCAACTTTTTTAGACATAGTTCATTTTAATGCAATACCTTTATTCCTTTTCGTTGGCAAATTGAGAAAATCCACCTAAGTCCATAAAATTCTGTATCGAAAATAAACGCCAACGTTCCCCAAGGTCCTAAATGATTGCTCGAAGGAACACATGTAAATACGCAAAAACTTCGTACTCAAGTTTTAAAATGTAAGAAACCTAATTAGCTCAGCACTGTATGAAATCAGGTCTAAATTTTAGGTAGTTTCCATTGAAACATTACAATAAGGTGAAGTATGTCCCTATGACACCTGGCTGCTAAAGCTGTTGCTACTGTTTTGGAAACCTCCTAAGGCTAGTTAGTTTGGACGTAGCACTAGTTTGGTGGGAAGAGTGAGGTGTGGGGAGCGGGAACGGTTTCTCCTAAATCCTTTCTCTAGGATGAATGGGTTTTCCCCTTTACTTGAGCTGCCCTTTCTCCACCTTCCCCATTTACCCTGACATATACATAGTCAGCTGAAGGGCATAAACCTTCCTTGCAGTGTAAGAATATTTTCAGGAATAACTTATTATAAATTAGCTTAGATATATGTGATGGTCTTACATTGTTAAATAAATTTAACTTAGCTGAAAGTATTGCTAAATTGATTCCATGCATTCTATCTTCCATCTCATTATGTCAGCTGATTTTAACTCTCTTTTGAGTTCTTAGTTACATTATCTAGGCACAGCCCTCAGAAATCTCTGTAATAACCCCTTCTCTATGCAGATCACAGAGCAGGCAGCCTGACCAGATCCCCTTAGCTGGGCCTGTTTTCCAAATTTTAATTCAGTAGTTTTCAAAGTGGTCTACTGAGATTAGCAGCATAAGCATCACCTGGGAGGGAAATGCAAATTCTTTTTTTTTTTTTTTTTTTTTTTGTGGTTCCGGGGCCTTGCTACTTCAAACAGTGAGCAAGGAATACCCTCATGTCTATGTAAATGTGTGAGTCTATCTATTAGATGAATCTCTCAAAGTGAAATGCTGGATTGTAAAGAGTATATGTAACTTAGATTTTGCTTTACTATGACTCTCAACCACTGCGCCAGCAGGGAAGCCCCTAAATGCAAATTCTCAAGCCTCGTTCCAGATCTACTGAATCAGAAACTCCCAGAGGGTAGGGCCTAGGACTCTGCTTTATGAAGCCCTCCAGGTGATTCTGATACATCCTCAAATTGGAGGGCCATTTGTCTAATTTCTAGTCTGTTCTCCAGTAGCTCCTTCCTTGGACTTTTCCTTCCTTGGGTGTGTCCACACACCAGCCCTAGAGAGTTATATAGCCCAGCACTCAATTCCTAGTCAAAATCTTCTTCTTGGTCCGTCACTGGTGTGAATTCTATAAGTACAGTATTAGATGTCTCTTAAGTATCATTAATTTCAACTTACTCTACTCATCTATTCACGTGTTTAGTAACTGGTATGCATATGCTTGCCTCCTTGGGTGGAGTAGGGGATACAAAAAGGAGTAGAATGTGTTACCTGCTCCCAAGGAGCAAGCATCCACTATGCTGGGCTGCATGGAATTGAGAATAACCCGCAAATTCATGTTCTACTGCCTTGTTTTACTAATTTATGTCTTTTTCAGGACTTATATTAACAATAGAGATAAGTGATAGCAATAAGAAGATACTACACTGTCTATTCTTTTGAGAATAAAATCTCTACTCTGACTGATTTTACCACTATTCAGATTAGCTTATTATTTTCTCCATCTTAAAGAGTGTGAAATGTATAAGATGTTCATGCATATCTGAGAGGGTGGAGAGAAAAACAGATATTTCAAGTAAAGTTCCTGAAAGAAAAGTAGGACAGGATATAAATTTTTAAATTGTTCACTTCAAACACGATGCAAAGTAATTCATGAGGGAGAGACACCAAGACAAAATAATACAAAAAGGAAATCCATGTTTAAAAAGTACATTTTTATAATAAGATATTGCAATGGGAACAGTTAAAAACCATGTCCTTAAGCTCCACTTTCCCATCTGACCTTCCCCAGCTTCCTTAAGAAAGGCAGATTTCTCAAGGATACCCAACTGGACCAAAGGGAACTATATTCAAACATGGCAAAATGTGGTACGTGGTATTCTTCTCTTCCTTTCTCACCTCCTCAAGCACGAGAGGGGAAATTTTTGGAGGGATGATGAGGGAATTCAAAAGTCTCTTTTCCCTTTGTTATTACATTTGTACTGGCAAGACTTGAAGCAATGGAGTTGAAGGTTGGCTGTAATTTCTGTCTACATCTTTGAGACTGAAAGAGCCTGAGCTATTCCCAGGTCAAAGGGATGAAGGAACTGACTGTTTAAGGTGGGATTAGTATCTATGCTGGAAATTAAACATTCAAATAATTACAAGTGGGCATAACTTTAACTTATACCCATGAAACTGGTTAAGTGCTAAATTGCTTGTGCAGCAACCAAGCGTAACACCTGTCTAGTTTCACAGCCTTTAAAAAACACTGTGAGCATAACAAGATGTCATAACGAATTATGAGGGCCAAATGACCTATTGCTTACAAGTATACAAACCTTGATCAAGACCTCATAGTGGAATGGTAAAGGGAACATGTGGTTTTCGCCTACAGTATCTATACTAGCTCACTAGGAAAGAAAAGAATACAAGAATTTAGGAAAAAAAAGAAAAAGAAAAAGAAAAGAAAAAATAAAAGAAAAACAAAGAGATCCTTAAACAAATACTAAAAAAAAAAAAGAAAAAAGAATTTAGGGAAAAGACCCTGTTAATAAAGGAGTTGTATATACTTGGTTTGCTTGTACCCTGTATTGGTTCTCTCAGAATTTGAGGATGACAATAGGTAGCTAGCTAGGTATAGATGCAAGTGAGCAGAATCAATGCTTGTCCTGTGGCTGCCATAGCTCCTTAAATAGTCATTTAATAATATATTTTTGTTCCCAAAGACGAGGCATAATTAAACTTGGTAGGTATGAAGCCAGTGAAAAAGTGGTCAACATTTCAAGTTGGCAAACAGCATCAAAGCTCAAAGAACAGAAGATAAACCTGAACAGGCATTAATTTACTCTAAATGTGATAAGCTGAGAATCTAAGTCTCGTTATCAGCCATTTAAACACAGCTACCATTTTCCAATTCAAGAAACACATGTTAGTCAAGGGTATCACCATTTCTCATTTGGACTAGGACAGCCACATCCTAATTATTCTCTCCCATCCACTACTGTTTGCTTTCAATGGGTTTTCCAGGTTGGAGGCACAATGATAAATTTAAATTGCAAATGTGATCATGTTCAGCAGCTTAAAACACTTAAGTGGCTTTGGATTACCTTAGGATAAAGTTCAAAATCCTCAAAATGGCTTATAAAGTCCTTAACAATATACTCTGGCTAACTCTGGCTAACTTCATCTTCTTTTTGAGCCATTGGCCTTTTTGCCAATATTTCAGCGCTAATAAGAATTCAGTTTCTCTAACCTGCTTTTTCTCTCTGGACTCTAAGCCTTTTGATGTATGCATGATTCTTTCCGATCTACTTTTTGATTTCTTTTCCCACAGCACTTATCACCTCCTAAATCCATATTATTTATTTATGTATTTTTAGGTTTACTAATTATTTTTTTTGCGGTACACGGGCCTCTCACTGCTGGAAGATACCAGGGCAGGGATCTCTGTAATGATGTTCCAAGGGTCTAGAACAATTCTTTATAGCTAATAGAGGCTCAATAAATATTTGTTTGATGAATGAATGAAACCCTTCTATTTCCATACTTTAATTATTTTGTCAGTGTCTATTTTCTCTGATAGACTAAAAGCTCCATAAGCAGAATCATGTACATCTCATTCACCACTCTATCTCTCCTAGCAAAATATCTGGCATATTTGATTAGGTGAGAATTAAAATGAGATGAAATTGACCTCAAAGCATCATATAATTTTTTTTTTCTTTTGCTTGCAAGCAACCCAAAAGCCAATTCTAGCTATAACTTAAGCACAAAGACATCTGCTGGAAAAATACTGAACTAGTTTATGAGCTGAAATGAAAAATTGAGGAACTGCAGGAATAAGGACAGCTTCTGGGATTATGGTTGTAGAAATTCCATGATCTTTTTTTTTTTAGAGCACCACAGTTACCAGGTTTAAGCCCAGCAACTTCTATGTCTCACAGTTCAAGTTTAATGTTCCAAAGCATGAGCAACCTTTTAGCCCATTTTGGGTCAGGTGTCAGCCCTGCGACCATTTGACTACGTGGCCAGTAGACAAGGAGCCAGCCAATATGCTATCACCTCAGAGAACCTCACTCAGAGGCTCCAATAAGTTCAATTGCATTTCAAAGCCAATATCCTTTCCTTGTCTAACACCGATTTATCTAATTTTTTCACTTATTAATATAGTCCATTGTTGGGGAAGCTAGTAAAGTAGTCTTGTTCAGGCTTCAGAGGTGGCACCAGGCCTCTCTGGCTGGATAATGATGCTAAAGCTGACTGCATGCCTAACTGCTGAGTTACACCCAGGCCAGAATCAATAATAAACCCCTAGATAAGATAGAGAGTAAGTCATGGGATTTCTTTCACCTTGAGGGTCTGGCCAGCCCCTGGGGATCAAGAACATTCCAAAACTTATGAGTTAAGACCAAGGCATTTATGACGACAACCAGAGCTGCAAACTTGCAAGTAGGCTGATTGTTAGCAGCCTGCGGCCTGGTGCTAAAAGCTGGGCTCCTTCGAGTGGTAAACTGAAGTCTCACCCGATGGGTGGATGCACGGCCCGGACCTTCTCAGTTGGGACTCCAGATTGCTGGACAAGGGACTTCCCA